ATCGCGCTTAACAGTTGATGAAAAGTGCTTCTCCGCTTGAGCTTCTTCAATGAATTGAGCATTTGTTGTTGAGGTAAATAGACTTAAAGCAGAATTGACAGATACAGGGGTAGATAGCATAGTCATTTTTGACTTGACTAATGACTTCTCAAATAATTTACCAACAAGTATCCAACCAAGTTTTGTATTGTGTACACTAATATGCTTGGACAGCTGTTTACGTGCACCCAGGAAAATATCATAAAATAGCTCAGCGCCAAATAATATGTCAACAGCAGCTGGTACGTTGAGTTGAGGATCAGCTAGATTGCCCTTGACATCATAAGGTATGTTCAATTGATCCATGCTGAACATTTGATGGGGAAGTCTTTCTGTTATCGTTGGCAATGAATGAAATTCAATCGAGGATTGATAGTTTTGACAATGCGATGATATAGTGCATGGCATTAAACGCACAGTGGAAGAAGACATAGTACCAACACCAGATATTGACAATGAAATATTAGTCTTCTTTAAACGCAAGCGTTGAGCACAAGATGACGTTATGAAATTAAGTTGAGATCCAGAATCCAAGATGGCTCTACAGCGTTGAGGTTGCCCATCAGAGTCATGAACATTTATTACAGCAGTAGCAAGCATCACAGTGGACGTGGTACTTGACGCATGCTTATTACTGGTCATCGCATGGCATACTGTATTATGTTGACTGGTTTTCTGTGTCTCAGTTTGCGTAGAGCTCTCTGGTTCTGATATATGGCTCGAGTCAGCATGTAGTCTTGAATTATGTTTTTTGCCACAACGTGGACATCCAGGATAATAACAAGATTCAACTTGATGTCCGAAGTTCAAACAGTTGAAACATAATTTAAATTTGGTTACAATATCCTTACGCTCAGATACTGACATTTGATTGAATTGGTTGCATGCATAAATTCTATGTGGCGCTGTACACAACACACACTTGATAGTATGAGGTTCAGCTTTTTTGGCAAAAAATGCCTTGACGACATCATGTTTTTTGGCTCCATACTGATTTTGCTTTCCAGTGGCTTGTTTTGTATCAGACTTTGATGAAATATAACCGACTTCATAGGCAGCTATGCGTTTAGACAGAAACGACTCAATATCTTTAAATGCAGGGAGCTCCTTGCTGGTTTGTAGCAGCTGCCACTCACCAGCAGTAGTTGGATCTAGATGACAACAAACAATTGTTGTCAACCAGGCATCCCAATGTTGTACAGGTTGCTTTAAAGCGATGAGAGAGCGAACATGAGAATTAACATGATAATGTAATTTATTTAATTCAGCAGCACAATTAGTATGTACCTTTGGCGAATTCAATAATGCACGAATATGAACTTGGATAGTTAACGCCTTGTTTTCATATTGCTTTACTAATTCATCATAAGCGGCTTGGTAATTATCTGAAGTAATTGAGAAACTTTTAATCACCTCAGCGGCTGTACCGCAGACACCTGACTTAAGATAATGCATTTTATGAACATTTGGTAAATTTTGATTGTTGTGGAATAGTGCATTAGACCATATTTTTAGATATCAATGTATATTTTATTATAACATATAATACATATATTTATAACCAAAAAAAAAAAAAAAATATTAAAACTGATAACTTAATTTTTTAATTCCTTATATTAAATATACCTATGTAATTATTTTGAGCCATTTAATACTGGGTTTATAACTATGAAAAATTTAAAAATTAAAATAAGTTCAATTTCTAAAATATTTTAAATAATTTTAACAGATTTGATGGATACAAGAAATATTCCATCAATAAATTCATCTATCAATAATAGGTTGATTTGTGTAAATAAATCGTCTTGTTCAACTTCAAATTATGTTGCAAATCTGGAATCTAACCAAACTCCCTTGTTGCCTTATATTGACTCAACTATTTGTTACGGTAAGGTTAGAAGTATAATTGATTATACATTTATATTATTATATTTAATTATAAGAATAATACATTTTTATTTTATTTTTCTTCTTTTTTGATCAGCCTTGGTGGCCATTGGAGTCCTATAGCTACGAAATAAACTGCCTTCCATGTCTCTATCTTGAGCTACTTCATTAAAATAGTTAACTCCTAGTTGTCTTTTGTCGTATTGCCTTGCAACATAATATATTTTACTAGAGGAGAGTATTTGGTTTTTATTTAAAATTAAAAAAAACTTTTATGGAAACAGCATAATTATAATAACCATTTGTGCATTAGAAATTGTTTGGTTTTTAGATTCTGTACAGAGTGTTGAATATATTGGTTTTACAATGATATGGTGTTTTTATGTAAAATTGTGTCAAATTTATTATAAGAACCTAACATAGTGGTTCTCATAGCAACTTATTATTATTAAAAATGTTTAGGTGCAATTTTTTGTGAAGCGTTTTAAGTTTACATTTTGTTACAATTTGTTTAAATCATAAAAATTTGCAAATTAATTTGTTGGTTGTAAAAGTAATTAAGTTTGTAAAATATTCAATTTGTATAGCTAATGATCAAACATTTAGTACACGGTTCCTCATAAGTAGTTCTTACTAAAACTCAAAAATCTATAAATAATTATAATGTAAATTATCTTTTTTAAATTCAAAAATATTATTTGCGGGGAAAAAAATTTTCTAGATTTTATTTTACTAGCACAATAACATTTTCGAAGCTATGGCCTGGCATAGTTACGCCCGCCATTTTAATAGTAGTAAAACTAAATTACTTATTAATATAAGATGGCAGACTATCTCCCCTTAGAATTGTTTTTTTTTCCATAATATGCTACGATTTATCATCAAATTCAAATTTAGCTCATTCATTACAGTGACCTACTCAACAACAAGGTACACTCTACGGCTATAGCAGAACTTACAATTATTTTTCATTAAAATGTACAATTTTGTCAAACTTAAAATTGCTATAAAAAAATTGTATTTAGATTTAAATTGATAAAATAAAACTTATGTTTTACATATTCAAGTTTTTCAACAAAATGCTTTCAACATTTATAAAAAGATAGCTGAAACTATTATTCAGTATCAGTTTTGAAAGTAAAATCAAATTACTATTGTGATCGGAATTAGTCTTCGTTCTTTTATAGTATTACATTATATTTATATCATATACGATATACGTAAATTTAATTTATTTTATTTTGTTAATTTAGGATTTTGAAACTTATTATTCTATACCAGGATGCACAACTAATACTAATGAAGAGGTTGACAATATTTCAATTTTCACTCCAACAAAAGTAAATTTTTTAATCATTCATAAATATTGTTTTAAAACCATTTTTTATGTCTGTTCATTGAAATTTTTATTGCTTATTTTGTAGGAATGTGTAAATGAGTGGAGTTCAAATTTGGGTTTACTTTTGACTGTAAACAGTAAAATGTGTGAACCTAGGACATACTTAGTCCTGAATTATTGGTAAATGGTAAAAACAAAATAATCAAATCATTAGCACTTTTTACTTTGCCAGTACCAATTTATGCTGTGCAATCAGCATCTAATGCTATGTCAGAAACAAATGATGTGTGTTTATTGAGTACATGTGAAAGAAATTTCAAAATCAAAAGACCAAATGCTGAGAAAGCTGATCAACAGTTACCAAATAGAATTAGTGTACTAGGTACATAAAATATTCTAACATTAGTCAAATGTATTTATTAAATTATCCACGAACAATTTTCATTGTTTAAAAAAAAAAATGAATAATAATTTTTTTATTAAATTGATTTATTATATTTCAATTTTTTATAAATAAATCAAAAGCCACTACTGATAATATTTATTTTTCTATAAATGAAAATAATAAGTATACTTAGTACTCATCAAAACATTTCAACTTGTGATATAAGACCAACATTAATATTGATTACTGTAGAAAATAATGATCTTCCGAATAATACAGAAATCCGTATGAATTGATGATTCTTCATTAATTGCATTAGTACCAATTGAGAATTCAGTAAAAGAACCATCAGTCGTATTATGTTCAAAAGCGTCTGCTAAAAATTCTTTATCTATTACATTACAACCAAAACTTAAACAGAACTTCTTCTCTATTACTAATAATAGTTCTCCATCCGTTCATAGAACACATAATCTTCCATTCACTTTAAGTTATTCTATTAATTAATTAATTATTTTTAATTATTGTTTTTCTATCTATTCATCTATTTATCTTACAAATAAATCTAATTCATCTGAATTACCTAAAATAGAAACTCAAGTAATTTCAAAATGTATTTCATTGGCCAGGAAGTCACACATAATTCTAATTTAGGTAATAGTACAAATACCAATATCGAAATGTTATTTGCAGTACTTAGATACATATTAAAATTTCATTTTATACTAGTAGTTTATAAGGTATAGTAGGGCTCCAAAGTTATAGGAGCTAAAAATAATATTATGATTCAGAAAATGTAATTAAAAATGCAAGTTTTGCTTCAAAAAGTTAACAAATCTTTAAATGGCTGATGGTAATAATGCTAATGGTAAAAAATATTGATTTTAACTATGACTTAATATGATGTGAATTAAATATGTTCAAAATCATTTGTTTTCTGAAAGAATGAGTGTTTTAAGTTGAATGGAATATTCCATGTGGCTAGTAAAAATAGTTTTTATTTTAATTTTATTTTATAGATCTCTGAAAAAAGTATTACAATTAAAAAAATAAAAAAAGCTTATCTTTTCAAGAGCTTTAAAACCATCTGGAATTACAAATATCATGAAGCCTCGTCGTTAATTGAAGACATTATTATTTACTTAAAAAACTTTAATTTTAAAACATGTACTGTTCTAACTTTTTTAATTAATGTGGGAATACTGTTATATTTAAGGATCTTTAATATTATAATACATTATTATTTCATAATATGATGTTTTGTATTTTAAAACAACATCAACATTTTGATTGCTAAATGTCTTTCATCAGTTATGTTAATATAGCATTATTACTTATATAATTTAGTAGTAGATCAAGCCATTTATTTTAAATTTATATTTTCCGATATTCTCATATTGAAAATCAAAGTTAAAATTGTAAACATATCCATACATTTTGTAATATAGAAATATTTTCTTTGTCACTTAAATTTTGTTTATATTCAACATAAGGAATGCTGGGATTTGATGCATGTACTGTGTGTTATAGGACGATACTTATAAGGAGTATAAACGATCTATTCTAACAATATTAAAATCGTTTTCATTAAATGTCCATATTATATTAGTTGTACTAATCACAATTTCAACTCTACATAACAGATAATAATAATATATAAGACGATTAACAGACGATTTGAACTTGTTTAATTTTCCAAAAGTTAATTTTTTTTGTTTGTGATTAACAGCTTGAATAGTCTTAGTAACAATTTTTCTTTTCTCATTGTCAGTTTTAGATATCCTTGATTATATTTTATAAAATATTAGTTGTAACATACCTTTAGCGGAGAGTGGTCCACGTTGTGACAACAATTTGGTTAGTTGTATATCATTAAAGATAGGAAAGTGGTACATATTTTTAACTTCTATATGTATCAAGGAATATTAGTGTTTATTATAACATATTAGATCATTATTTATAACTATTTAAGCCCTAAAAAAATTGGGTTTTTAAAAAGTTGAAAGTGTATCTTGTAGGCTACCCATGGTCTACAGTGAGACCTTATTTTTAATATAAAATAAAATAATAATCATGAAAAAAGTAACTAAATTATAATTATAATTATAATTTAATTTTTTAAACTTGGTTTATTATCTCATAAACATCATAAAATGCATGTATAGGTATGATATACTAGAATATACTATGTACCTATATATTATACATATAACCAAGGCTGGGCATTAACGAGTTAATAAGTTAAAGTTAACTTTTAACTAAGTTAATTAACAAGTTACTTTTTTTAGAGCTAACTTTTAATTTAACTTAACTAAGGATAAAGTTTTTTGTGTTGTATGCAAACTAACTGGTACAGCCGATGGAAAGTCTAATCAACTTGCCAGATGTGGTTCTAATGACTGGAGACATATATCTTATAAACTTGATACTCATGAAGCATCTCCAAACCATTTGCAATCTGAGGTTAGAAAAGTTATGTATTTAAGTAATCAAAGAGTAGATATAAAATATTTGAAAGATTCTAATAGCAAAGTTGCAGAAAATAGAGAAATTGTAAAAATAATATTTGAAGGGTTATTATATCTCGCTCATCAAAATTCATCCTTAAGAGGTTATAATGAATCTTGGTTATCCAAGAATCAAGGAAACTTTCTCTAATTAATTAAGCTTTTTGCTAAACATAATGCATTACTTTCTTCTCATATCGCTACAATTGAATCTGCACAGAAAAAAAAAATTGGTTGACTTATTTATCTAATAATAGCCAAAAAACAATGCTATTAGTTATGAGTGATTTTGTTCGTTCTCAAATAATAAAAAAAGTGAAAAAATCTGGCATTTTTTTAATCATGACAAATATTAAAACTTTTAAATTCTTATAACTTAATTGCAGCATTTCCTAATTTATATACAGCTTATAAATATTTGTGTACTATTCCATCCACTTCAGTGTCAAATGAGCGATCTTTCTCCAAACTAAAATGAATTAAAACCAGATTAAGGTCAACTATGCATCAAACTCCCTTGGAAAGTTTAATTTTATTATCATGTGAAAAGGATATTCCAATTGATTTAGAAGAAGCATTAGATAAATATGCATCAAAATCGACATTATTACAAAAGTCTTTATTATTTAAATAAATAATTATTTTTATGTCTTTATATGTTTTTATTAAATTGATATTCTAAAGTAATTACAAATCTACACAATAAACAGCAAAAATATAATTTATTTTGTACAAAATGTATAACGTATTTTAGAAATAGATATTATAACATTATATAAGATTTTTTAAAGTAATCATAAAAATTTGGTGCACCATAGTGCATTACACTAGTAACAAATAGTGCTCGTTAATTGTCATACTAATGTTGTATCATTATTAAATTTATATAATATTATGCTACATAAATCAGTATATAAAATAATGAATGCATACATACCTGTATACATATATACACATATATTTTATAAACTTAAAATTTTTTTATTGTGGTAGAAAAGTTGTTAGGGTGGATACATTTTTGATCATCATCAGAAATGAGTTCGACATGCCACTATTTCAAATTAGTTGTTCATTACTTTTTTCTAGTGATAATACGAGCGAAGAGAGCTGCTTTAATATACATATAGTGATATTCATTAAAATGGGTGGGTGGGTAGTAAGTAAGAATCTTTGCTCCTTAAGTTAGAGTAGTTCAACATGTCACTATGCTATATGCTCCCACTGTCCATTTACCGTTATATCTATAAAGATTAATGTAGGCAGTTAAATTCCATTTTGATGTAATGAGTTTCAAAGGTCCTAGGTTTTCATAGAAGATACCGGAACGTTGTGTTAAATGTTCATCTGTATATCGAAACGTTCCTGACGTGAGTGGAGTCATAAGAAGGTACAATCTGATATGTACTAATCGAGTGAAATTAGGTTTGTCGTAAATATAGTTATACCATATTATGTTAGTTTAATTTCTAAATACCATTGTAATATATAAATATATATTATTTAATAACCCTTTACTTTGGAATAAAATAAAATAGAACAACCCTTATCCCGTTATGCATTAAATATAATATCAAAATTAAGTTCGTAATTTTTACGTAAGAATAAGAATAAACATAGCGTCCAAGCAACATCCGTGAGTGGGTTATGCACCTCTGTTATGTCATGGCTTTTTTTCACAGATCATGTTATGGGCTTCGTTTAATTTTAGCGCCCGTCCTTGTTTTAAGAAAAATCCCTATGGGATAGGACAAGATTTTTCACTTCGTTTCAATTTCTATTAGTTGTAAGCAAAAGTGCCAGTCATTATTCTGTTCCCATCCTCTTAAAGTTAACACGGTGTGTTATACGCGTAATAATTTCAAAATTTTGAAGTCGGTATACTAGTGTACTACCTTCCCATACGATAACTACGTCATAAGTATTTAATTGTTGTTAAATGTGAGTGCTTGTTAAGTTGGGTTTTGTTGCATGGTCAGATTCGTAGATTTGTGCTAATATTGGGTACAATTGTGAAGATTTTCCTCTAAAAATATTAACTAGATGCCGCACCATTCGTTTCCATTAGGATTGGGTAACAGTTCTGTTTTCTTTTAATACTAGAGCTCGACCCTCTAACTTAGTTATAAAGCCAATCTGGTTGAGTCCTAGGATTGTTCCGGATATTAAGATTATGTTGTCTTTTCCCAAATTTGTAAATTCCAAATCCACGATTGAGAAATCAGGTATTTCACTGTAATATATATATATATATTGGGTGCGTTAAACATAGTACATATAATATATATATATAAATAAAGCGATAATAAAAGAAATGAAGAAAAATAATTAAATTATGAAGTGATAATAAATGATTATTCTCTAATTCCGTAACGTTCGTATATTAAAATGTCTGCTGGGTCTGTTACTAACTTAATGTAATCTTTTAAATATAAGCATAATGATTTCGGTAAAGGTCGATACCTCTTCGTCATTTCATGTGAAAAGTGAGTTATGGTTCGCGTTATGTTACCTCAGATGATTATGGTCGTAGCAAATTTATATTCGCTGTTTTAATATGTTTAATGAGACATGTCAGTATTTCGTCAATATATAAAGCTAAGTTACGCTATGTGGTTCTACTTCAATCGCTGTTTTCAGCGTCCTTATGAAAATACGTTGTTTGTCTCTAGAAAGAAAGATAGTTGATAAGAATAAAGTGAAATGTTTGAACATGTTTAAAGTTGTATTGTTTTATTTTTTTATTTACTGACTCGTCATTTTCGTAATATCGTTTAACGTTATTTGTATGTATACGATGATCTTTTTTTGTGACCCTATTAAACAGTTATATTTTCATTGCCATGTACCAAAAGTATTTCGTATGGACCCCGCCAGTTTAAGCCAAGTGCGTTTTTCTTATTTTTTCCTTAATAAGTACTTTATTTCCTACGTGTATGGTGTATGTCAATAGTATTCAACGACTTGTCGTAATAAGTTTTATTAGTTTCTTTTTCCTTAATCAAATTTCCCCTAGCGATTTTATGCGTTTCTTGCATGATGCGTCTAAGATTAATAACATAATTATACTGCGGTTCTGAGTCCTTCTTAAATGTTGAAGGCATATTTGGTTTTTTCCGAACACAAGTTCGTAAGGTGTAAAGTTAGTAGAGTCTCTACTGTAGAGGTATTGTAACAAAAAGTTGCGTTTAATTTGTTTTTCGATCTCTTCTTGGTAAGCCCACGGTATAAACGATATGGTCGAATATTAATCGGTTTAGTGCATCGCGGCGTGTTTATCGTATGCGTTACGACTTCGGTGGCGCTAAGAAAGTCCCCCGGAAAATAAAATAAATCCGCGTAATTATAAGCAAAGTTCTGAAATTTTTTTCCTCTTTATTTAAATTTTCGAGTTTCAATTCTATTTTTATTTTATTATCCTATCGTTTTGCTGCGGTTCAATAAAATAAGTTTTTAATATTGTTTCATGATATGGTTCCCACTTAATTTGTTGCGCAGTTAATTCGTTAATGATAAACGGTTCTTCAAAAATATTTTTTTTTTTTTTTTTATTAGCTATTAGCACGGCCTTAGACTAGTAGGTCTGGCGACTAGTGAACTTATAATGTGCCTTTAGTGTCCAGGACCTCGTCATGTGGCGCGCTCTATTTGTGAAACTTGGTAGTTGATATCTACGCCCACGGCCTTAGACCACTGCAGTACTGCAGTAGTGCAGTCTGCAATACACGGCTTACACGACCTTAATAATTATTTTTTTAACTAGTTTAACTAGTGATCTTATAAGTTGTAACAATGCCAAAACGATGTTCATTTTGCAATTGTTCTACTTTGAATGTACCTACATTTCGTGTCACTAAAAAGCGCATTGAAAGTTGGTCATCAAAAACAAACAAAAATGTATTTATTGGTGATAGAGTATGTCAATCCCATTTTCTCCAAGCAGATTTAAAAACTCATGTTATAAGTAACTTACAAAACAGTAGTTCTAGTTCTAGAGTAAGTACTTATGACAATGATTAAGAAAAATCATGTAATAAATTAAGATATTTCTTCTTGTAGACAATTTTAAAGGAAGGAGCTACTCCTCTACTAGTCCAGAGCCCTACTAGTCTCGATGATAGTGTTGATGAAATTATGGCCTTGCCTCTTATACAAAATTCACCTAATTATCTGGAATTAAAATCTAATAGTTCTGAACTGGTAAATATCAATAAAACTGTGGTTAAAATATTCTAAATACACATAAGGATACTATTTAAAAATAGTATTTAATTTGTATAAGTATATTAAATTACCTATTTAAGAAAGTATATTAGAAAAAAACTAATTTAATTCTTATTTGATTATACTATTAAGTATTAAGTAGGTACATAAATACTAATATACAGCTATAATCAGAAATACTAGAAATTATAGAAAAACAGTGTTGTAAAATAATAATAAATACATTATTTAACATAAAAATCAATTAAAATTGTCTATACAATTTTATTTTTGATTGCTTTATTTAGTATTTATTATTACAACATTGAATTATGAACATTTAACACAAACATAAATCTCAAAACACGGTATTAATTTTTTTTTTTAAATACTTGATATTATTTTAGAAACAGTATACTAACAAAAGAGTAGCTACAAGAATAGTTGTGCATCAAGCAAAAAAAAATTGCCAAGAACCATTTTCACCGGTTGAAAATACTGATGATATAAATATAATTTATAAACAAATTTATTTTGATTCTAAATCCATTAATTTTCCTCCAAAATAGCAAAGAATAACTCCTGAGAACAAAAAAAGTGTTATGTTTTGTAAAATTTTATTAAAAGACGATTTAACACCATACTTTGAAAAGGCGGTTATTATTGATGAGCAGGCCACAGTTAAACTGTTTTTATTCAACAGTATCCAAATTAACATTGAGAAACTTGAACTAACATCAAATGTAATTTTAGATCTTCATGAAGCAGAAGATATTATTTTAAAATTTTCTAAAGCTACTATTTGTACAGGTACTTTTATTCCTACAGAATTGTTAAAGTATAAACCTAATACAGCTTGGCGTATTCATAATGATGAAAAGTTTCATCATTCAAAATGCTTACTAATTAATTTACCTTCAAGTTCCCATGACAATTCTTTAAACAATCCTACTCAAACAACAAAATGTAATTTCTGTTTTTCTATATTAGATTCTATTAAGAAAAAAAAAAAAAGGGAAACAAATACAAGAATATGTAAACGAATATGTATTAAGACAACACCTAGTAAACACAATAAATTAAAACTTTTAAGGAAAAATATAAAGAATATTAGACAAATAAAACAAAGAACAAAAACCCAGCTTCAAAAATTAAAATTACAAGTACAAAATTACCAAAAAGAATTTGAAAAATTAGATGGTTCTGTTTTAATAAAAAATGTTGAGTCCAAAATTCCACAAAACCAAATTGTAATAATTAAAGAAATGTTAGCATAATCTAATAGAAAAAATCCAAAAGGAAATCGCTACACTGAAGATTGGATCATGCTGTGTATGTTATTGCATATACGATCACCAGCAGGTTATGCATTTTTAAAAAATAATCAATTGTTACCATTGCCTTGTGTCAGGACTATAAGAAAATATTTAGCACAAATTCCCACTACGTGTGGATTTGATAAATGTTTTTTTGAATTGTTTAAGAAACATTTGTCTGCTAAAAATAATTTCCAAAAACATGGACTTCTCATCTTTGATGAAATATCATTGAGGGAAAGCATTTCTGTCAATGCTAAGACATTGAGTTATACAGGTTTAATTGATTTTGGCAAAGACAATGAAGAATTGGATAATCTTCCTAAAGCAATAGACATCAATTCAAAAGCTACTCATGGATTGGTCTTCATGTTCCAACCGCTTGCTGATTCGTATACGCAACCAATTGGAGTATTTGCATCGAGAGGACCTGTAAATGGATTGACACTTGTAAAATTAATAATTAAAGCAGTTTTATTGTTAGAAAAGTCAGGTGCTTATGTTCATGGTTTTGTATCGGATGGAGCTCAAACAAACAGACGTGTATGGACAGAACTTGGTATTAGTGGAAAATTAAACTCCACTTCTTTTTACACAGAACACTTTGTTGATGAAAACAGGAAGTTCTTTGCTTTTTCAGACACTCCACATTTAATCAAATGTGTGAGAAATAGATTATACAACAACAAAAAACTGAAAGTACCTATTCCAAAATCATTCATATTTTAATAGTGTTAAATAATTAATTTTGTGTAATAAATATAAAAATTTCAGATTAATCCAAATGAAAATTATGTTAAGTGGGAGCATTTTGTGACTTTACATGAACAAGACAAACAAAATTGTAGCAGCCAATTAAGGGTTTGCCCGAAAATTACAACTAATCATATCAGTTTAAATAATTCTTGTTTAAAAATGAGAGTTAGCTTAGCTACACAAGTTAGAAAATTAACTTCACAATTTTTCTTTAAAGTTATCATCTAATATTTACAATAACATTATATTTTAGATTCTTAGCAAATCAGTAGCTGATGGTTTATCATTTTACAGCAAACATAAAATTCCAGAAATGCAAAATTGTGATGCAACAATCAATTTTTGTCTTGTTTTTAATGATATGTTTGACGCCCTCAATGCTAAAATTCCTTGTCAGGGAGTCCGTCTAAATTCAAAAAATTACGAGGTTGATTTTAAATGTTGGGTTTTTATTGGATATTTGC